TCGGTGGACAACCAAGAAAAAAAAGACCTCGATTAAAGTTTACCTCCGCGGGTGTTCGTCATTGTAAAAATGAACGAGAGAAAAAAACTTGTTAAAGCCGTCCATCTAGGGATGTCTACTATCTAAGTGACTGTTCTTTCATCCAATAAAGAGAACAAGAGTCAAAGTTTTACCCAATCAGAACAGAGCAGGGCGGGTCGTGCCGTCTGACTGACAGCGCTGCCTTTTTCCTCTCTCTGTGGATCGGGGGTCAGTTTCCCTCAGCTCAGGTGAACACCTCCGGGGAAAGCCCTCAGCTGTTTTCCACCAAGGATTACGTTGTATTTTATATATATTATAATTCTAAAAGCACCTCGCAGCATTTCTCCTGTAACACTGTGTTCACAAGCACAACAAAACCGCGACACATCAGCTGACTGGTTTTAAAGTGAGGGCAGAGAGGCAGTTTGACAGCAGCTGCTGCCTGCAGCACAGCTCAGGACCAGCCCGGGACTTCAGAGTCCACATGTCAACCTTTTTAGACGGTTACTTGTATAATGAGCATCAAAAATCTGTATTAATCACACGCGGGTGGAGCGGAGGTGCAGGCGGACCGCAGCCGCACGGAGTGGGGGTGAGGAGGAGGGGGGGAGGGGGGTCTTTTAAAGACGCGTCTATATTTGACTTTTATTTTTTTCTAAAATTACAGAGTTCTCTGAGTCAGCTTCAGATGTTTGTAGTTAATCATAATATCTTCTAAACTTAACCAGATGTTTTAATGCCTTTAAATTACACAATCATTTTACTGGAGAAACTGTCAGTTTGGTTAATAAAACTGTAAAATAATTTAAATAATTTCAAATAAATATATCAAAGCTCCTCAGAAAAGATGTTTAAAAACTTCTTTCCTCAGAAAGTCTTCAGTCCTAAGAGAACACTAAACTGTAACTTTTAATAAGGTCATGTACACAGTTTACTCCCATTTAAATAAAAATGTTTGACCTGTAAGCAGAAAGCTTATGGATGGATGTTAATTTTCATCTCTATTTCAAAGAGGATGAGGAGGAGAACGAGGAAGTTTTACTCAAGCAGCTCCTGAAACTCTCAACCTGCTGACTGAGAATATTTGTATATAGTAAACTTTGTTAACATAACAATATACTTATTAAATTAAATTTCAATTTCCATTTAGCACCCCCATGAAAGGTCACCACACCACCACGGTTAAAAAAAATCTTAGGGGAAACCCTGCAAAGACAAGGGAAAATCTCACTTTTTGTGATACAACAATGTCAACTTACCAGAGGGTTGGGGTCCAACAATTGGGTAAAGACGTATCTCATAAAAACCATCATGTGTGCTGGCCTTGACTTCAACAACTCAATATCCTGGAATGGACCATCCATCTACAACAACAAAAAAAAGTGTGAGAACAAAATGGAAGGGAGAGTGAGAYGCAACTATGAGTYCCATCCATTCGTCCATCTATCCATCCATTGTTTGATGGTGAACAAGCTGTGACAGCTGTCACTTCTGGGAGAATTCCAAGGTGTTCCCATTCCAGCCGARAGACAGTGCGTCCTGGGTCTTCCCTGGGCTCAACTCTTTATCAGATACCCAAACCACCTCAACTGACTCCTCTTGGTGTGGAGAAGCATCGGCTTAATGCAGTCTGTTCTGGAGAACTTTTCATGTTCTCTCTAAAGGAGAGCCCAACTACTCCATTTTGACTGCCTGTATTAGAGCTCTACCCACAGCTTGTGACCACAGGTAAGAGTTGGAACGTAGTTTGACTGGTAAACAAAGAGCTTTGCTTTGCAACTTAGCTCCCTCTTCAACACAATGGACAGGCACATAGTGTGCAATACTGTGAAAGCCAATCTTCCCTTGTGATTAAAAGCATGACATACAAAACTCTTCCACTTGAGACAAGGGCAGTACCCCCTTTTCTGACTRAAGATCATGGCCTCAAATTTGGTGGCGCTAATCTTTCTCTCAGCTGTTAAACACTTGGCTGCAAACTCCTCCAGTGAGAGTTCGCTGACATGATGACACCAACAGGACTACATCATCTGCAACAGCAACAAAATGTTGACGCCACCTGACTCCTTCCACCCTCTGGCTGCACAGTGCAATTCAGTCCATACAACGTACAGAAACTGTGACAAAAGGCAGYCCTGGAGGAGTCTCACTCTCACCCTTGAGAGGTCCGACTTACTGCTGACAATRCTAACCAAACTCTTGAATCRTTTGTATARGGACTAAATGGCCAGTAGTAGCGGACCCCCAATCACATACTCACAAAACACCCATCCCAAGGTACCTTGAGAAACACAACTGAATGCACTTTCCAAATCCACAAACACATGTGGACTGGTTAGGCAAACTCCCATGTAGGGCTGCAACTAACGATTATTTTAATAATCGATTAATCGGTTGATTGTTTTTTCGATTAATCGATTAATCGA